CTCGCTCTACACATTCCTTCGGTACCTAAGCAGAGTTCAAGGTACACTGGCCGTGCCCACTTCTACGAACCGGCCAGCCACATATCTACCTGGCCAGGCCGGTGCTGGCTGGGACATATTCTACGGCCTTTTGGCACATCCGGGGCACCACTTCTACATCCAATGTGACTGAAGGGTCTGTCAAATTACAACTGCGATTAACTGTGATTAAGAGGCACAAAGCCAAAAAAGAAATATGTGATTTTGCTGATGCGCCACCGTGTGTGGCACAATAAGTATCGCAAGTACTGCGCTACAACTTGTACTACGTATACAGTCATTTTGGCATTCCCGAAGTACCATTGAAGATTTCAAAGAGAAAAGAGGCTGGACAGATTGACCAGATATATCCTTGTACCAAGTGGTAAGCTGAAAACATATGATCAAGAAGGAACGACCACTATGCCTTCCTTCTTTTATGGTCTGGCTAGGCGAGCTAAGGCGAGCTCTGACGAGTTAGCGAAGCCATCGCCCACATTTATGTCAATGTCTGAAACCTTCTATCAGCGGGTCTGCCTACGGGAGACTAGCTTGACGCTGTAATCATCAAACGCGGCAACCCACTGCATAGTCTCCCCTAGGCCTAGGTAGACCTTAGACGAATGAAGATAGCCCTTCCCTCTGCTTCTAACTGAGCGGAGTTTTGCACTTGCCGCTGTTCGGCATGTCACGTATCTCAGTAATCACGCGTTGATTGACTTTGACGCGTCGACGACACGTCTGTAATTAAATCTTATAATATGGCTTGCCACTCTTTCAATATATACGGAAGTTTCATTCACCAGCATACGGCTCAAGCTCCCAGAGTCCTGGGGACGACTTTCCTTTATTTCAAAACCCTCTAACTCCTCATCTCACGTACACTCTACCAGCACTTTACGCCACGCCAGCGTTTTATTCCGCACTTCGTTCACCTCCACCACCTCCACCAGCGTCACGCAAGAAACGGCCGCACGTAATCATAGCAACCCACCGATATACTTTTCCGTGAATGTGTTCCAGCCTCTGATCATCAATCATCGGCCACATCTTCCTGCACTCTTCCCGTCCCGCAATGAATGCGATCAACGCTTGGCATAAATGGGCTCTCAAATTTGGGAGGATTGCGCCGGGAGTTTCGAGTCGTGCATAACGGCAACGATATTGATAGGAGTTGGCGTCCATTCTCCACCTTTGCCTGGTATGGACTGGGCGATGACGATCACGGAAATTAGGAAAATGAACATGTGAGACATCTGACTCTAACCGAGTGGTATTCAAAGGAGAAGACATCCGAGGTTATCGCAGCTTGTTCTTCAAAGGTTCCGTTATACCGCTCGTCCGTGTGTGACACAGATCCGCTGAGCCGGGCCCAGTGCTGATAACGGCGGAGATATCATTCCAACAGAGTCGTCGCAGCCCACCGTTCATGCTCGTCTGAAAATCGAGTTATCTCCGATGTTGGCCTAAGCAAACAAAATAGAAGGAAGATAGTCGTCCTGTCTTTATATGATACAAGGTGCATCTCCATCACTCCTTACTATGTGGTGTTGGGGTTCATATGTTTGCAGTTCACATGTTCTGGATTGTTTATCCGCTGACCCTGTGATTCTGCCTATACTAGAGGCTCCCTGAAGTCCGTTGGCGCAACCATGCTGATGAAGCTGCCGAGTGCTTCGCAAATATATATATATTCTAGGATATAAAAGCAAGCCACCTTCCTACTACCAGTATCAGAACTATTATTCGAGATCCACTTGGCGCATCCCATACTACCTAGCACAAGCTATGCGTTTCTCATTCCTCCTCGCCTTTGTTGCTGCGTTGACAACATCTATCTCTGTCAGTGCTGACACTGCTGAGTCAGCTGCCAACTGGGAGTGCATACCGAAAGACTTCCATTGCGACGACGGCAACAACTTTGGCTGTTGCTGGGGTTATACTTGTAAGCTGGATGTGAGTATGAGTTGGCTTTGTACCCGGCATTCAACCCCATGACTCACTCTTTGCGCCTTGTACAAATAGCTTTCAGTACCCAAGGGTTCAGGCAACATGACCTGCCAGAAATGATGAGCTTGGCAGACTGAGCATGTCGCGACAGTGAGTCGTATTTACGTTTCGCGTTGGTACAGTAGTTGATCGCACGATATGCAGGTCGTTGCGGAGTTGATCAATATACTTACTTCGTGACCGTACAAATATCCCTGCTGCTTCAACCAGACAGTTTAATAACATTAGCATGAATTCTGTAACATAAACAAAAAACATCCATGTTACTCGACTTGCGGCGTCTGTTTTTACATGAATGCACAAGAAAACCGATGTATTAAGCCGACATCAAAGTACACTCTCCCTACAGATTAGGCTGCGCCCCGGCTTGCATGGGAGCGTCACTTTTGCAATGAATCGTGTATTGCCCCTGACATTGCTCTTTCACGAACGTTGCGTGCACGATTGCCCGATGTTATGGGATATGCGGCAATAAGTAAGCTGCAGCAGTAGTTAGTGCTAAGTAAGGATTGTGTAAGTAGCGTATGCTCACCTCAGTAGACTAGCAAGTCACTGAGGTAGGTAGAGTAAAGAGCGAATGCAAATGATGCCCATGCTTATCTAATACTACCGGTAATGTCCGTAGTCCGTGTAACTTTTGACTATTCAACAGGATACGTTATCACATCAGAGAACTCGTGAGTCTACCCAGGGTACTTTACATCGATCACGGCGTTTTACGGCCAGTACTTTCCAAATTCCTACAGTTGTTATCTGTCGTGCGTTTCTCCCATCGCGCCGCTCAGCTGTTGTTTACTAAGTATCACGACTTTATTGGTCCTCCCTTTCATATATTTATGACCTTACAAGAAGGCAGGTTTCCTGCACTTATATGGGCCTGCAGATCAGTCGCGGATTATGTATCTGGCTGTGCAGATTGATGCAAACCGACGCATAAACTCCATGATGGGTCTAATGTAGTGCGTTTCACGTATTTTCATCACTTTAGTCGATCAAAAATATGAACCGATCTCATCCCTGCACTGATCATTTCAGCCATAAGAGCTCTGAACGGTGGTCTATTATCTAGCGCGAACGCCCTCGTCGTACGCCCACCCAGTTCGACGCTCGCTCGTAGTAACCATCCACGAATAGTATGACCCTAGTTTCAGATGATCCCAGTTGGTGGCCATTCATCAATTCGTCTCTCATATCCAGCTATTTTGTAGGTTCGTGGAGAGCCAATTGGATGACGACGACGTCTCGACCTAACCTTTCCTGCAGTTGCCTCCTCGGCTGGGGTGATTTACGATTGGGGTGAGCAAGATAGTAATAAAGAACTGCTGATATCCTTATGGTATTTACAGTACTGACATTCGGACAAGAGGTAGGTCGATTCCACCGGAGCAGTCATACGGTCGCTAAGAATGATTTTACTAGGTTGAATTGATCTGGGTGAGCAGAGTACTTCCCGCGCCAAAAGAACAACGTGAAAATATAGTTAATTCGCGACAGAGGCAATGCTGGTCCCTGATGACCGCTCTGTATCTCAGTGTATGTAGCTTGCGTTATAAGTGTGGTTAGCAAGTCGTGCTCATCTCAAAATATCCCAGGTGCGCTATCTTGGAATACTATATGCTGTGTATGTTTGGAAGGCTAAGCAATTGGCGCTCTACTAATATACCATCTCTCACAATCAGCGTCAGCATGCTGTGTATGTCTCCTCACATTCATCATGCTTGTTCCTTCTGACCGGCAGCATACAGCCAGTGTTCCGACAATCTCGGGGACTGATGTAGTGAGCATTCCGCACTAACACTTGTAATTCCTGTCCAATTAACATTAACTGCAATCACGTCTAGGGGTGAGTGAGATTCTTGACCAGCTTGTTGGTCCAATATAATGACTGTCACAGCTGTGAGTTTGTTTCTAGTGTGTGATCATCCGAGGCAGATCACTAAATGGATCTGTCAGGCCAGATTATATCTGTCGTACTAGATTGGATGAGTGCCGTCGTAAATGCAATACTGGGCGGTGAGCTATGCAGTTACTATACCTCACTGATTTTGACTGAAATATCATGCAAGTCATCATGATTGCTCGGTTACATGCCATGTACCAGCGGTCCAGAAATGTCCTGATAGTTCTCGTTAGCGTCTTCCTGGCTGTCAACATCACCAATGCAGTGCTCACCACAATAGTAACGGTGCATACTTCAGGGGGTAAGCTTAATTATAGATGAAATCCCAAGCGCATTGCACTCATTGACAAATACCAGAGGAGCTCATTCTCTCAGGCACCTATCAGTGCACGTTTCAAAACTCCGAGGAAAATGCCCTACTTCTGGGTACCATGACTTGGATACTCATCACTGTATGGGAAGTCCTCGCACTAGGTCTCGCAGTCTGGATTGCTATAAAACGCTTCCGTGAACTGCGGCGATCATCGAGAGGATGGATTATCGGGGACTGTTTCACAGCGTTGATGAAAACTCACGCAGTTTACTTTGCGAGGTGAGTTCATCATGCGACATGATGTCCGGGTTCTTTTTTCACTCAAAGTCATGTTATATCAGTTTTGTTGCTGTTTCTTGCCTCAACCTCCTTTATTTGTCTCCGTCGATCTCAGGGGTATGCATCTGCCGCTAACCTCTATACGGACGCAGTTCATTGACATCATTTCTATAGGACTCATTTTCCCTGGCAACTCAGATTTATCTTGGTTTCCTTCAAATTTTCGAGCTCGTACAGATGTTTATGCTGGGACCGCGCTTGATTCTTAGCGTTCGAGAGTTTAACGCTAAGCTCGTGGCCGACACCAATACAGGAAGCGCCATGACTTCAATTGCTTTCCAGGAGCGTGTGCAGTGTGTCAACTGGCAGTGGTGTGTAGGCTTGAGATGTCAGTAATCGGCATTCATTGGATATGTATATGGTTTTGATGGACAGTATAACACATGTATGAGAAAGAATAAAAAAATACGTATATGCTGCAGCGAGCGAGCGTCTTCAGTGAGAAGAGATGGAAAGAATGATGTACCGAAAGCAGCACGACGTAGTTGACGATCACAATGATGATGGCGCCGACCAAGAATCCAGGAGTTTAGTCCGCATGAAACAATCAAAATGATCATACGGAGAAACGCAAGACCCGTCACGACAAATAAAAAACCAAACGCTAGATCAAACATAACAAAAATGAACCCAAGATCATGTAGATAACGTAGACGAGTGTTGGAACGTGACCAACCACATAAGGCGGACCAAGAACCGTCCGTCGTAGCTGATAGGTCGTCGTAGTAGGTCCATTGTCGAATCGGCAGCAGCCGTGTATTAGAATTCCACCCACACAAAATTTCCCTATTTCCGGAAAACATCTAGCAGATATCCAGCAACTGTCATATTCTCGTATTTGTCCTTGCATACCTCATCCGCCTTGCCCCCCAAAACAAATCATCTCGGCCCATATCCATATCCGGCCTGGGGACCCGGCGATGCCCTTCCGGCGCCGAGTGCGGGACTTGCCGAACGCCCATCAAGGGCGTACCCCATGGCCGCCTGCGGACCTGGGGACGCACGGACCCTGCACACCATATGCCATCTGCGGGCCCGGACTGCCTGTCCGCGCCATCCGTGTCATCGGGATGGCCTCTGGATTATGGCTGTCCGAGAAACCGTCACCAAACGTATTAGGCACGGGGCCTCGATAGGGATCATAGTAACCTGGTTGGGTGAAAGCCCCGGGCTCGTCGTGGTAGGGTTGGTTTGGATTGAGGTGTGGGAGGGGCGGGACGGCATATGGGTCTTGCGAGCCGTTGTAGGTGTCTGGAAGGGAGTTGGCGGCTACAGAATGGGCATATCCACCGGGACTCGGTGCACGTGCGAGGTTCACCTCAGAGTCATTTTCTACACCAAAACCTGACCGGCCCGTAGATTTGGTTGGCAAGGCGTGAACATCGGAACCACCATGAGTGTTCAGTTCTGGCCACTTGATTGCTTCGTCTGTGGTTACCTCGTGAGGCGATGATAGATATTTACATTACGAATCAAAGACGCACTGTCATCAAAGTCTGCGAAGCGTTTCCTAGTGAACTTCCAGACAAAGAATGAGACGATGCCAATCACAGCGACACCACCCGCTACAGAAAGACCAACGATGGACCCCGTGCCTAGGCCACTAGAGCTACTCGATGATGATGATGATTGTGTGCTCGACGGGGTGGCACTACTGGAAGTAACTGTAACCTGGACGAAGCTGGTAATAACCTGACCTGCAGAATTAGTGGTAACTTGTTCCGAGGTAGTCACTGGAAGGGGAGCAGCTGTGGTTTGAGTCGGGGCAGTGTTCGAGGTGGTTGTAGGAGGGTTCTGCTGCTGCGAGGTGGTCGTCGTTGGCGTAGTTGTCGTTTGGGCGGGCGTAGTGGTTGTGGGAGTTGTCGAGGTGGTTGTTGGGGTTGTTGACGTCGTTTGTGGAGTGGTAGTTGGAGTGGGTGTGGTTTGCGTGGTAGTTGGGGCTGTAGTTGTGACGACCACGGGCGGAGATATAGTTTGCTGTCGCCGTTCAAGCTGCTGGTGGGGCGCATGTGCGACTGAGAGCAGGAAACAAGATGCCACTACAAGAAGTAGCAGACATCGTGATGTAGCACTCTTTGTTGCGCTCTTCATCGCTGTCGTTTGGCAAGCGAAAACACGAGTATTAATGAATGTTCTCTATGGTATTTTGCAAGATTGAGCACGTCGTAGGTGGTATCGTTCGCCGTTTGAAGGCGTGTCGTACTAGAGGGAAACCGACGACGACGAGGACGACAAAATGTGAATGTGAATGAAAGAAAGTCTGGTAAAAAGCAAATCTGATGAAACGACGTGGCGGTGCCATACTCCATCGTGACCTCACCGTGAGACAGTGTGACAGGCATACGGGTGCCGCGGTGCTGCGCACGCAACAAGGTACAACTTCATATCATCAACAATTATACTAAGCCTGTGCAACATGGTATAAGTATCGTCGTCGTCATCAGATCATCAGTATCGTCACGGAGAGGGCGCCCATCCTCAGTCCAACGACCTCCTCTCCAGCAGTTTTGCAATCTCTCTATGTTCTCGCAGCCAATCCGAAAACCCTCTCGTCTCCCTTCCTTGCATCTCCCGTATTTCAATGAGATAGTTTGCAAACACGATGAGCGTGCCATAGCGATAGCTGCGCATAGTAAGCGTTTCAGTAACTCCGTGGGTCGCAGTTAGAAACCACTCACAGGTAGTTCACCGCAACGTTCATCAACTTCCGTTGCTTGGCACTTCCCTTTTCTAGCGCCTCTACCTTGAGTTTGTAGCTATGCACCTTTAGCGCCAGACAAGGTACGATACGGCTATTTCCACTTACTCATATATCGACTTGCGGAGATTCTGCACGTCCTGCATAAGATCAATGGCACGGTCCGTCAAGCGCTTTGCGATTTTGCCGTGAGACAAGACGCCGACAAGCTGCAATATAGTCTTGTACTCCCCTATCACAACATACCGTCAGACACGCAATATTCGAACTTCACTGGGAATCACACCTTGGAGGTAAGCCTGCTCCTCCGAAGGACCATCAATGCTGTCGTATTCAGTCAAGTTGGGGTCTTCCGGTGCATCAAAGTAGTTCTCTTCGCCTTGCCAATTCATTGTCGTCGATATTAAACAGGCTGTGACCATTCCCGTAGTCGTGCGACCACGGCCCATTTGACAATTGAATATGAAGTCGTCCGCCTCAGAGTGTCCACTCTGGACACGTTCCAGTAATTGTGACAGAGCATCAGGCAACGGCGCTTGCTCGTCAGTCTGCGAATTCCCATCAGTGCATTCCTTCATACGAAATACTGGTGGCTCACGATAGCAACTCGATCATAATTGATCTGTGTTAGAATCAGTAATGGCACATTTGAGTCAATAATACCACGACCGACCTTGAATCCCTCCTTAGCCATAAGATTGAAAACATCTCTTGGGGTCATGATATCATCTTCATCCACCGTCTCCCATATGGGTATAATAGAAAACACGCCGGGCCGCTCCTCGACCTCATCATGCAAAAGGATGCGTCCATCACCCATTCTGACCTCACGTATGACATCTTTCTTGAAACGTTCTTCCATAGCTTCCACCATGGCAGTTGTGACCCCAGTTGCTCTGTACGATATCAGCCCGATGTCAAACATGATTCATACGCACTCACTCTACGTTTTCGAGTGGCTTGTCCACGATTCGCAGAACATGCGGCCGGCCGGCAATATAAAGGACCGGTTCCTATGTCACTTCAGCCACAATGAAGCGAACATCAACATTCCCAGCCTCACCTCTCGCAAGGATGTCCAATACACCATACCATGTCCTTGTGGATCAGCATCAACACGTGCTAGGGCTCGCCGCAAACTACGGACGCGCGGTGAGAACTTATTCCGTAAGCACACTACAAACCTACCCTTGAACTGTAGGCATTCCGCTGAAAGCGGAATGAGTGAACGTCAAATGACATATATCAGAAAACTCACCTTCCGCACACCATCTTCTCATCAGCCGGATCTATAGGAGAAGAACTCCGAGAAGAAGCCAGCTTCAAGGTCAGCGGCACACGACGGAAATTAGGAGAGCCTTCGATCCTCCTATATATCAATATTATTACAACGTGCGATTGATCGAAAGTATGAAAGGGCGTACTCCGGAAGCGTCATCTTTTGCAGGTTGGAAAAGAAGTCGCTCTTGAGGATCGTAGATGCGGAGAGGATGCCGCCGGATCGGTTGACTACTACTTGCTTGACTTCATCCGGGCGAGCAACACTCTCATTCACGTCCGCGCGCTCAAGCGGTTTGAGGGCATGCAAGCCTTCCGCAACGAGTTCCTTCTCGAACGTTTTGATGACTATGCCATATTAAGAGGTTTAAAATGGATGCCTGAAATTCTGATCTACTCACCTGGTCGATTCTCAATGAAACTCTTGAATGTTTCAAATGACTGCATCGTGTCTGGCTCGGTAGATTGCAGATAAGCCTGGAACAGAATGAGCTCAAAGTAGCGTCGCAAATTGTGCAGCCCTGCATGTGTTCAGTACTGGCATAGAACGTTAAATTGTTGTCTCTACCTTTAGACGCATGTATGCGCTTTTGCTTCTCTTCAGTCGCTTCCTCAGCCAAAATACGCTCGTCTTCGATGGAGTCTCGGAGATTCATGACAATCGCACATCGATCAATGGCCTCGTCAACAGTATTCTTGACTGCAGGGCCTTTCCGGACGATCCGAAGGAGATCTTCATACATATCTCAGTGATATACCTCAAAAGGAAAGGTTGATAACGCACTATTGATGATCTGATATGAGTGGCGCTTATTTGCGGGCTCATCCTGAAACATGTCAGAAGTCATCGACATTGACAAAGAGCGAGGCTTCGTTCGAGGCGACCGCTGAGGAAGCGCACGACTCTCCTTCAGCCATTGTTGAATGAGGATAATCAACACCTGCATTGCAAGAACATCAATAAAACATAGAAGTTTTTCCCTTCTACCTGAACTTACCGAAGTCAGAGTGCTCCTTCCTCGTCCAAGCTGACAATTGACAACCATAACCGTACTAGAGGAGTCCGCTCGAAGAACAAGGTCCATAAGCTCACTGATGTCCGCGAAGTCAGGAGGGCGCTCAGATGTGATCGGAATCCGAACGTATTGGAGATCGAGGCCATGTCCAGATTTGCGGGATGCCATAATGTCCTTGAGCACCGCAACATTTGAAGTGTGTACTTCTTCCCAGATGGGAATCACAGACCCATCTGGGGTCTCTGTGTGAAGGAGCAACCTTCATCGTATTTCAGGGTATGAGACTTGAAACTAGAAACTAGAAAGGAACAAAAACGCACCTTCCCCCAAACGCTTCGAGCTCCGCAAGGACATCATCTTTGAGACGCTCTTCCAAGACTTCCAGTCTGGATGCAGAAATTCCTCCATAATCTGTAACATTTCGACTCTTCAGGAATAATATCAAAGCTGAAACCTGGGCACACAAACCCTTCATGTTCCGGAGCGAGAAACGCTCTCGCCTTAGACAGTAAGGCGCGCCATTGATATAAACAATGGGCTCCTCTCTCAATGTCACCCACACAACTTTGTTTACATCCGGGTGTGCTTCTTTGACACGATGCACAACCTCATCGACTGCGGATTCAGTCGGTTGCCCACTCGCATAAATGTTTGTCCCGGGTATGTTACGAAAGTTTATCGCCCCGCGGACTGAGTCAGAAACACGATAAGACTCTGAAAGCCACTGGTCTGACTTGAGAAGCGTGCTGTTTGACAGACATAAGAAGTCAAACACGTTGCAAATGCGAGATGACGTACGTCTCTCGCAAAATAATGCCGCTCCGATTCTGCGGCAAAGAAATAAGACCGAGTGATACACGTTAATCTCGAAGAGCGAACCTTGACAACGTGGTCACTATACTCATCACCGAGTAGCTGTCCTCCGGCAATCTCCACATCATTTTTCTGTCCAGCTACGAGGGACTTATCTTCTGTTCCGGATCTCGACAAAATGGAGAGATCATTGACAGGCGCGAAAATGTTTAGCCTCGAACCATATGTCTTCCGGAGGAACATGACCTGACTGTAAACATGTGGGTCGACATTCAATGCATTGAGTCACTGGTATGCGACAACTTACTTCCAGATTTCCGTTCTCGCCTAGTGATTAAGACGTCAACATGACAGCCACCAGGGAGCATTCCATCAATGAAATGCAAAAAGAGAATACACACCTTCAGCCAATCCGAAAAGGTCATCTCAAAGTCTTGGACAGAATCCACGTAGCTCGCAAAGGTGATCATGAAGAAACTAATCGATATCCGGTAGGCAATTATCAAATGATTATGATTAACACGTACTATTTCTCCAGCGCTCTTCGAGCCTTGGATAAAAGTTCTTCTCGTTTGGTTTCATCCCCATCGGCTGTTGTGAGGGAATACTTGACCCTGTAGGTGAGTATATCTTCCCGAAGATTCGTGACATGATCGCCTAAGGAATAAAGACATGGTTAGCGGCCAACTCTCAATGTACAACAATGCCATTTTGTATTTGCGACAGATGCGAGATCTGAAACCACTATCATGAAGCGCAATGGTGCACCTACATGCGTCGATTACACGGTCAACCAGTTTCTTAGCCTGTAGGCCATGATCTAAACATCCAAGCAAACTCAGTATTACGCCATAGTTGCCCTGGTGCGCTTTGCGCAAGTTCTCCAAGAGCGTGGGTTGCGCCATGAGCAAGGCAATTACGGACTGTGAGTGGAGATCTGTGAGAGATAAAGTTATGCCCGGAATACGACCGCAGGAATACGTACGTCGCTGCAAGACATATGTCAATCGTAAAAGTGACTTATTTTGGTCCTGCTGTACACTGGCATTTTCCAGTGCTTGAGCTAGCTTGATATCAGTGGCTACCTGAGGAAATACCAAGCTCATCAACCTTCGAGTGCAATCAATTGACGTACTCGCGCCATACCTGATTTGTAGGCTAAAAGAATGTGTCAAGGGGTTTTTCACGAAGGAACAGATCATGGACTTGCCGTACTGATACCGGGGCTGCCGTCACCTATCTTATGGGCCCCATTACCCAAATTGCTCAAGAAAGATGATCTACTCGCGTATGGATCTTCTAAGCCCCTAGCGAGCAGCATTTTTCTCCTGACGATCACGGCAGCGACCATGGCAAATGTAGTTCGCACGGCACCCATGCCACAAGAAAATACAAGGGCACTCCGTACTGGATCTGTGTTTTTGATAACGCGCAGGTACGCATCTAGATAGTTGTCCTAGGCGGTGTAAGCAGTAAACCTTAGTTAGGTTTTTGTTTTATTCAGTATGACGTGCGCACCTCAATAGGACGGTCAGGGGATATGGGGATACTGAGGTAATAAATCAACGACGTGATGGGGGGGCCGGGACACATAAACAACATACCGGTGATACTATAATGGGGAGAGCATAACGCGAGATTTGCATATCAGGACAAGCGGTGCATGCTGACAGAATCATATGTACCTCTACATTCCATCCATCTGCACGCATTTGCTCCCAGAGCTCTCGTGATGTTCTTACGTTGACATTGTCAACATGAGTCCAGGTGGGCAAAATGGCGCCTGCCCCGCTCTCGGCAGCTGTGACAGTCAATGTTCAGTGTCCGGTCCAAGTACAAGATTGCATTGCTCACGCAATTCGTTGTGAGTTAATATTAGGCCACCATACCTGGCCATACAGAATCAGTGCTTTGGACCAACAAAGCGATATCGGATATTTATCACTTTGCTGATTCCTGTAAGATGTCGTTTTTCAAACGTTCTTCAATGGCTTCTAGATTTTCAGCTCTGTCGGATAATGACAGAGGGCTTCGTGGTTCAGCGGAATCGCGCAAGACGAAGGGTCGCCCTGATATATACACTAGAAAGATGGAGAACGAGAACGAATGCATCACCCAGCATTACGAATCGGACACGCGAAAATTTAATATAATAACCTAGGTCATGATGATAAACTGAAGATCGCAAGGAACACTTACCGATCGGTTCTTCCCGCGTAGAAAACCAAACGACATGGGACGGACTGGTAGTACCAGGACGACAGCGCAAAACAGAGAGTATTGCTCGTAGACCTTGTGTGCGTGGTTGTGCAACTCCGAAAACATTTGTATTGCCTGGCCGTGATGCCCTGAAGTTGGGGGCACCATGGACATTCAAGTCGAGATCAAGGGCTCGGCCTGTCAAACTCGTCGTAAACTGACTTTACAACGACCGATGGTAAGCAAGCGAACCAGACGGATAATAATCTGTTTTCAAGATGAAGCCTCGGGATAACACGCTTCCCGATCTCGTTTTGACAACGGATGGTTCTGCTCGCTTCAGATTGCCCATGAGATCAAGAGGTGCAACGGCTTGTGTTCCTGTCATCGATATCTTCGATTCGCTGGCGACACGAGATGTCTTGAGGGCTTCTACACCTGCAGACACCAATTGGGGAGCCGAACGGCCCACCAAAGGTACTGATGCAGGACGTCCGATCACGCCGTCCACTGATAACGTTGTCGCCAGACGGCGACGCTGACTGGTATGCATAGCGCTTACTTCGGGATACGCAAAAGGGGGAGTTGGGTTATCCATCCGCGATGAGACCGGAAACAAGCTAGCAGCTGGTTGCAATACGTGAATTTGAAGGTCCACTTGTATCACACGACTTACATGAGGATAGGTCGTGTCACTTACATCATATCTATTCACGTTCCACGTGAAGCGTGAGAATGTTGAGAACACTCCCAGTAGCCATTGCCGCGCAAGCTCAGCTGATAATAACTTACATACATGTTTCACTTTTCTTTTCATGTACTACTTTGCGGCAAATTTGCGGATTCAGTCTACTCCTAATCCGTGATTCAATGTCAGTCCAAAGATCTGAAACGAAGGTCGATCATATCAAATTGTCAATCCGACCTCAGGTTCGTCGCGGGTTCGTGCACCGCCCTTTCGCCTCGCACATCTACTTTGCCACAAGCTCGGCTTTCATGTACTATTTGTGTTGTAATAGCTTATCCATTTATCAAGTGTCTCTCAGCCAATTGACAGCGGAGCCGCCCCAGGAATGGTTCGTGGGAGACGGGACTGACACTGACGCCATCATCTTTCCAAGTACGTAGAAAATACACAGATCGGGAAAACTCCTCGCGACACTGACCAGCCCTCCTTTCATGTTACCGGTGGAGGCCGACATGATGCGATCTGGGCGATCGAATTTCCATTCCAGGAGGGCTTGGTGTTAACATATTAATGTGCACACTTTTCTTTCTAGGCTCGGATAGCATGCTTTAAAGCCGCCTCTGAGATGTCGACTGTATCCCCGCCCGAGATGTCCCCCTCTCTCATACTCTATTTGTCTGCCATTATATGCCTCTTTCTGGTCGTTCACCAAGTTCGACGCAAAAGTCCATACAATATCTCCCTTCCCCCTGGCCCCAAGGGCTTTCCGGTGCTGGGTAATCTGCTCGATCTCGATGGCAGTCAGCCATGGGTCAGCTTCACTCAGTGGGCATCGACCCGAGGTAGGTCCATCAATCTTCCAAGCAAATACCTCCTTACTTCTTGTTAAAGGGAATGTTATCTACTGTAAGCTACTCGGACACCAAATTGTTGTTCTTCAATCGCAGGAAGTCGCCAAAGCACTGTTAGAGCAGCGCTCTAGTATTTATTCTGACAGGCCACCAAACTCTGCCGTCAAAGCGTAAGGGGGCCAAAATTCAGTTCTTAGATATATTAATCTGACACGCCCATAGAGTCGGCTCTGAATTCAACAGCGCCCAGTTAAGGTACTCTGACGAATGGCGATTACATCGGCGAATTTTCCATCAGTCATTCCGACCTGATGCGGCAAAAGATTACTTACCTACTCAACTTCGCAAAGTTCATCAGCTGCTGCAGGGCATCATAGAAACCCCTGAGCACTACCAACGCCACATCGAACTGTGAGTGATACCTTGTTCCTTGGCAAGTTTGATGACAAAAAGGTGGTAACCCCAGCTTCGCCTCATCCGTCATAATGTCTGCTGTATACGATTACGAGGCCAAGCCGAATGAGGACCCCCTGTTACTTGTCGCTGAAAAGGCGATCAAGGTCTTTTTGCAGGTGGCAAGCCCACAGACATCAGCTATCTTGGAGACATTTCCGTTTCGTAAGTTTTATCAGTTTACGTCTCCACACATTTGTTTCTGACTCAAGGTAGTGCTAAAACTGCCTGCTTGGTTCCCTGGGGCAAGTCTTAAAAGACTCGCTATCCAATCGCAAAAGAACGCTACCGCCATGACCGACGTTCCATTCTACTATGCACGAGAACGCGTGGTAAGTATTTTCTGCCGATTAGGAATGACCTATCAACACGAGGCATAGATGTCCGCAACTTCGAATCGGTGTATGATCTCGGAGTCTTTTAAGATGATAGAAATGCACCGAAATGCGGACGAATTTGAGCTTGCGTTGAAGTCAACTTCTGCTACCGCATTCATTGGTATGCCGCAGTTCATTTTCCTGAGTGGCGCTGCTGACACGTCATCGTATCTAAGCCGGAGTTGAAACGGTCGGTCCTGCTTGTCTATCTCAAGGTCTTTCCCACGAACTGACGGATAATTAGACTGCGTCAACGCTCGCTATCTTTGTCCTTGCAATGATGCTCTATCCAGATGTACAGAAATGTGCACAAGCGGAGATTAAGGCAGTTATAGGCACCCAGCGGCTTCCTACCTTTGAAGACCGATCTTCATTGCCATATGTGGAAGCAGTCTTGCGTGAGACGCTTAGATGGCACCCAGTGTTCCCTCTTGGTGGGTTGGTCTCCTACATTGTATGTTAGGATCTTACATGGGACATAATCAGGTTTGCCGCACTGCACTTCGAACAGCGACGTGTACAATGGTTATTACATACCCAAAGGTATGGTATTTCTTATAATACATCGCTTCTGCTAACCGTCACGTAGGTGCAATCGTTATGGCAAATCTCTGGTACGTCGTGATACTTGCTTAGTCTTGAGTTGCGTTATGGCGATTGCTACAGGGCCATATCAAAAGACGAAGCGAAGTACCCAAACCCTAATGAATTTAAACCAGAGAGGTTTTTCATGCCTAATGGACAACTGAACGACGACACTGTTGACTTTGCTTTCGGCTTTGGGCGCCGAATATGTGTTGGAAGGCACTTTGCTGATGCTTCCTTATGGATTGCTATAGCGTCTCTGCTATCAACTTTCCGCTTTATGAGACCGTTGGACGGAGATGGCAGGGAAGTAGACCCTATCTTCGAATGGTCCACTGGACTTAGTTCGTAAGTATCGTGTTCCATGCCCTCATCTCAGGGAGTAGTGTCGGCTAACCAATGACATAAATCAGACACCCTGTCTCTCTCCCTTGCCGTGTCATTCCCCAAAACCCGGACATGACTGCAGATAAACTTGCAGACGTAATCAACCTCACTATATGAAGCGAGCTACTCACGCCAGCTGTATAATTATATTTATGTAAGCATGACCAAATAATTTTGTACATGTCATACACGATAAGTTCAAGTTACAATTGACCTTGATTTTACTGATAGTGAGTTCGTAACTACGGATGATTTTCTGACCGTATCCCCCGGGGCAGCAAGTACTGTATCGGGTCAGGATAAAGGCGCCCGTGCTCAATTCTAAACTAAGCGAGCATTAATTAATACCCTTGGCGCCATGTGTTGGACGCGTTTTTCCACACATGTCCGTCCCGACTCCCTTCCTTGCCATGCAGTGGAGACTCGAGCAGAGCACCGAAGCGTAAAATATATGATAACCAAGTAGCTAGACAACACAGAGAAGAATCTCGAATTTAGACAGGCCCGATGATCAGTCGTATAGACTCATAGGCTACCTTGACGTAATGCGCCTCAACGGCTCATTACGTCAACTATTGTGTGTTGTTGATCAACCTCGTCTCATCGCTTGCTCCCCATCCAACGATCAAGCTTATTTGCAGCCTTGATCGGAAGATTTAGTAAGATCTCGACCGCCTGCATATATAAACAATCACAGAGCATCTAAGAAGTTGGCGGCCAAGATGTAATTGATGATGACATTCGGCATGAACTCCAGGCTCTCTATGGTAAGCCATGGCCTGATATTATCATCAGCTACTGATCTGTGAACTCCACTTCCTTCCGCTTCCATACATAGTGAGAAGATATGAATGCTAACGAGGCACGTGAATAGATAGAAGGGTGGTGTGATACGTTAGTGGCGAAGCCCGTCGCCATACCCAAGGAAAGCTTTAAGCCTTCAAGCTTAAGCTTCAAGCGTCAACGTAAAAATCAGCTCGTGCAGATGGGTCTAGTCTCGTTTCGTGTCGCCTACTACAGTGAGCAACTTTTTCGGAAGTTCGAACTGATCTTGGCAATGATTGTACCGCGGCTACTAGCGATTCTGAACGTCATTTTGCATACACGTTCAATGCCGAGACGCACCGCGACACCGATAAGCTAGGCTTAGCTAGTACTGTCCAGTCTAAGCGCAACCAAATTCGCCACTCGACATTTAGCCATTAGCAGGCTAGCGAGTATGGTGCCTATAAAGGCCTGACACCGAGGTGAAGTTTTTCCTAGGAGTCGGTACAAGTCAGCGCTCGTCACTCCACGCCATGAAGGTGCCACTCGTTTTCGCCTACTATTGCTCTGGGCATGGTACGTATTGAACGCTGTCTAGTGATGGAGATTCCTCACTTCTTCTTTCTATAGGCTACGGTCATGCGACGCGGGTCTCCGCGTTTGCTCGCCACCTCATTAACCTCGAATCTCGGATGACAATATATATAATCTCGTCTGCTCCAAAGCATGTTTTCAGCGACAGTATTAGTCTCGGGGTCCTCTATCGTTTCGCCGAGATCGACCCAGTCATTGTGCAGCCCGTGGCGTGAGTGGTAGCGACTTACAATTTGCCCATTCCATTCATTGCAAAACCATCAGATATCGAGTCGACCGTTACAAGAGTGTTGAAGTTCTCAAGTCCTTTCTGGCACGCAAAGAATCTCTTCTGGAGCAAGAGAAGCGTTGGCTCTTCGACATACAGGCTGACTGTGTCCTTAGCGATGCTGCCTTCCTTGGATGGTGAACCCACAGCATGTACCATGGCAGCCTTAATGCTTACCAATTATTCAGCCTTGCCGCAAATGCCACGGGGTTGCCTTGCATCCTCATCACAAATTTTACATTCGACTCTGTATACAGCTACCTTTCAACAACATTTTCGGATCAAGTGGATGCGCCTCTAGGAGAGGAAATTTTGATTGATGACCTCGCTCCGGACTGTCCTATCTCAGGCGAAGAACTTGAGCCCTTGGTTCAACAAATATATCTCGGTTATCGTTGCGCGGATCTTCTTGTTCGACTTCCTGGATGCATACCCATTCCATCATTCTCGATCTCCCCATCGTTACCAGCGCCGTCATGGACTGACCAGGACAACAACACAATCCTAGATGGCATCGTAGCTCACCTTGTTCAGAAACCCACTGCATACAGACTCCATTCTTCGATACCCTTTGCCGGCTCCCATACTGAGAAGCCGTGTGCACGTAGCATCGTCCAAGCTCCGCTTCTCGTTCGTGGTATTACCAAGAGTCCGGATACAGTTTACTCCACTGCTGGTCGATCCCGATTTCTTTCGTCGATTGGTGTTCCTGAGCATTTACACAATCCGGATGAGACAAAGATTCTAATTGTATCATTTGGTGGACAGGTCTTCCGGACGCCGACCTCCAGCCGCGGGAGCAGCACGGGTCACTCAAGTCCAGGATGCAGAACACCTCCACACAATTCTCTTGCAGAATTACGACAGATCCCTGATAGTCCGCGACTGTCAGAGATCCCTCTTTGCAACGTTCTCAGCGAACTGGACTCGCCATGCCGCATTTACAACGCCACTCCTGCCATACAGCCCGAGCCTAGCCCAGCGTGCGCTAATATATGCGCGATGTTGACCAAGGCAGAGGATAACGTCACTCGTTCATATTTCGATACTTTCATTCCCTCGGTTTCGGACATAATGCTTGATCATGCCGCAGATGATCTTGATGCACGGCTGTTACCCGACTCATCTTGGATCGCAATTGTATGCGGAGTATCAAAGTGGGGGCAAGATGGGGCAGATGAACAGCCTCCCGACAGGTTTTTTGTCGCTCCGAAATACGTCTACATGCCTGATCTGACGGCTGTTGCAGATGTTCTGCTAGGGAAATTAGTGTGTTAATCTATGTGGCTCTTTCGTATTGTTCCTTGGCTGATGCTTTCCGAAGGGATATGGAACAGTCTCGGAATGCGTCGATTCTTGCACGCCTTTCGTTTATATCTCACGCCCGCTTTTCGTGGAAGAGCATGGTCTCAAGTTGCTGCTCTCACAAGAAGGAGTTGGTATCGAACTCTCTCGAGCGGCTTATGAGGCTGGCGACTGGGCTTCTGCTGTGGAGGAAGCATGGTTGCTGGGCCAGAATTCCAAAGCGCAAATGCGTAGGAACGGTAGGTTAGGCATCGATATGAATAAGCGAGATATAGAGGGCAAGTTACTTGCGGGACGAGTAACGGACTGGGTCAGGGCTTGGCACGATTCAATATCAGAGGGCGGTGTTTGAGATATCACGAAGGATCGTCAGACGTGCCCTTTGTCTGCATTACATATCATACCAGAAGTATGTTATACGTGCCGCGGACCCTAACCAACGCACACCCACATAATGGTTTCATCTGCACTGATTGCTTGCACACGTATCTAGTAAAGCATGCCCCCTACAGGTCTAAGTTACGATGGGCGATGCTGCCATTCTGATTGACTGGGCCTCGCTCAGCAGACGCCTTCATTCGTTATACATCGGGTACATTAATAGCCTGCATACACGTAGAGGGCCAGGAAATCAAATGGGAGTCATGACCATAAAACCAAAGAGAGCATCATCACTCCTCAGACTCAGGTCGATTCGCATGTACGCGTGTATAAGTGCGTCAGTATATACTGACCAGAAAGTATACTAAATAACAGGCATGATACGAAAATAGAAAGCCACAAGCCCCTGCTCCCAAAGATGAAAATTATCGTCCCGTGAATATCCAAGTTGTGGTCGTATAACGTCTGGAAGATGAGTGAAGATCAAAATGAATGCGAGTAAAATGGATGGTCTATGATGATAAGTGTGCCGTGATTTTCTCAAGTCTCGAGAACGTGCAAACGTGTCAGTCATCACGATTCCCCACCGTCTTCAGAGTCAAGGAGACTATTGACGTGAGCTTGGCTGCACGTTAGTCTATTGCGGCGGCTGACTTGCTTGTCTCCACTACCGTTGGAGCAGCAACGAGTGTCTGCCATTGTTCCAACAGTTGTTGACCTACCCCTGGCTCAAGCTCCGTACCATCCCGTGAGACCTTAATCTCCCGATCATGGTTCCAAGGATTCCGAAGGTGTCGAGTACGATAGAAAGGAAGACGGTCAGTACAGCACCACTCCACCTTGAATGCCTGCCCCCAAGTATCTCGTTCATCGTTCCCCGCGTTTTCGGTCGTCGATGGCATCGCGTCATCCTTCGGTTGTGTTTCCCCAGCATCACCATCATCACTACTTAAACTGTGATTCTCCTCCTCCACAGGTTGCAACGCAGATACCCCCAACTTCGCTTCATCCGTGCTCCCCTGATTCCGCATCGCTCGGGCTGGCGCATTCTTGTCGAGCACAATATTGGAAGTCGTGCTTACAAAATCCTTGACGGCTAGCCTAACCTTCCCGCTATCACCGAGGCTGAACTTCGGAGCCGGAGGCTCTGCTGAAAATTCCCGTTGCGGGCGAGCACCGAGTGCAGCTGGTGCAGATGATCGGTGAGGCACCATAGGAGAAGGTTTTGTGCTCAGGTTACCTCCCGAATATGGTGTAAAAGGCAGTGGCGATTCCTCGACGAGACGGTTTTCGGATGGCGTGAAGAAGGACTGATTGTTAGCAGCAAGTGGAGTGGGACAGTCAGGTTCCCGCCGAGACGAGGAAAGAGAGGACGAGGAAGAATCCCCATGCGACGCCCACAAAACTCTGTGCTCGCCCTGTAATATCCGTCCGGCCATCCTGACAGGGTCATTAAAATGAGTACTGGCAAGAAAACATGGAACATTACATACCGTGCATATCCATAGAACTCCCCGCTCTTGTTCACACTAAATATCAAGATAACGTCATTGCTAGTGCGGTATGCCTGGTCAAGAATGGCCTCGTTATGCTTTTGAGTTGCCCATAGTCCGTTTTCGACGCTCAAGTCTAGGTCGAACTACAAGGTGAAAAGGTCACAAAAAATTACAACTCGTGATCCCCTTGAAATACGAACCTGCGTTAAAGACTTGAGAATGAAAAACCGTTTCGGAAAATGTCGGGACAGAAAACTGGAGTTTGTCGACCCATAGGAGCTACTTGAGTGAGCTTTGCCACTGTGTTCGAGTCGCGACCCTTGGCGAGCCCTGGCAGCCCCCTCATCGCCCGACACAGCCAGTGGATGCCCTGACTCGCTCGATACACTTGAACGGCGATCGGTAGGCGATGACTGATCGTCTTCACTTGGTGCTTCCCCCTGCTTGTCTGTTTGTTCTTGCTGAAGTTGCTCGCGGACATAGCGAGTGTGCACGCCCACTCCCCGTTGCCCACCTACCCCAGCCCGCAGATCATCCTCCTTGCGACGTGCCCGACAAACAAGTCGCGGACCCCGCCGTTCAGGGAGCTGTTTTCCATTGAACCGCGCGATTGCGCGCCGTAAGTGCTCTTCCGTATCGAAGTTTACGAATGCGCAGTTTGACCGGGAGATTAAGAAAATTGATGAGACACCACTGTCTTCAGGCTCAGATGAGTCGTTGTCAATAGAGGTGGGGCGTTTCAGGAATCTCCAGAGCTCGTCATGGGTGGCATCCCCTGAAACATTCCCTATCCACATCACCCATTCAGATCTATGGGCGGGAGGATTGGGGTGATAAGCCCGACGTACAAGGGGACGTTCAGAATGAGGGCGGGATGAATTAGTAGTCGTTGATGGGGGAAGAGCATGACGTTCGGGGCGAGTAGATGCTACGGGAGAGGTCGATGCAGGAACCGGTGATGATGAGGGAGCTGCTGACGTAGGTACCTGAGGTGGATGCCTTGCCAATAGAGTAGCGGGTAGAGCAGTTGACTGTGTAGGTGAAGTAGGTCCGCCATGAATGGAGACTTGAGAAAAACGTGTCTCCAGGTCGGATGAAGGTGAGTCCTGCTGGGGTGGGAAGTTTATTGGGTACTGAGGTTGATAATGCACGGGGATGCCCTCGTTAAATCCAGGTGGAACTGGTGAACCATAGTACCACTGGTACGGGTTTGGCTGATACGCATGATTGTAATGGTAAGGATGGCATGGGCTGGGATAACGCATAGGCTGGTACTGCGATGTGCTATGTGAACCAGAGGTGCCAGGAGGAGGCTGCTGCACAGGTAGCGGAGAGTGAGCTGGGGGACTATGGGTAGTGGGATGCATTCCCGAATTCCCAGCCGGCGGATAAGAACCCACATTAGATGGTGAGTGCGCCTGCATCATGGGTCGGAAGCCCAGTAGATGTTGTTGGTACTGATCGTGTTCCAAAGGCGAGTGTGGTGCATATACACGAGCTTGAGTGTATGGATAAATTTGTGGGTGTGCGGTTGAAAATGGTAGGTGCTGCTGGGATGACGTATATTGTCCCGGATAGTTATTTGGCTGAAATGACGATGGTGGGTAGTGCCGCACCGGGCTTCCTATGAATGAGGATGGTGGTATGTTGCTTCCTTGTGACACATTTGGATGCGGACTGGTGTCAACAGTCCCGGACGCGTCATGCGGAGCTTGTGTTTGTCTCTGAACCTCTGGAGAGCTTGAGGGGAAGAACTGGACATGGCTGGCCTGGACTGACGGGTGTGGACGGCGTGATGTGCCGGGAGGGGGATGTACCTGATGTTGCGGGTGTTGCTGCTGGATAGGCGTTCGCACGCAATGGACACCATTGAGAACAGTTTCAGGATCCATGTTAGCCCTATAGCGCGTATATAACTGTGATCCGTTAAACTATGCCCTTCAGATATGAAAATTGCAGGGAAAAGCATGCTACTCACAAGGAATTAAAGCTCGTGTTTCTGATTTACAGGGTATGTTGCTATGAGCTGTTCGTTCGATGATACGGGAGTGTTACAGGCACCTTGCTACTCGTCTAGATCGCCTTGGACTTTTTGAATTGTCACAGTCTGGAGGAGACACCGTGAGAAACATGATGTCATGAACTTCTCCAACCCTCTCATCGCTTCTCCAGGACGCCAGGAGACTAGCGAGGCCTCCAAAGGTGAACTGTGTTGTACCGCCCCGGGTCTCGACACCACTTGCGCTCCATTCTCCCGCCTACCCAGACGAGCTAAAATACTCACTCGGTTCCAATTTCCCCCCAATTTCCAATTCATCTAGGCTGTGATCGCTGGGTCGTAAGGCTAAGCGCTCCATAGTATGGCCATAGTGCATCGTCCTAACCAGGAACATGACATATCAAGGAGGTTGCTTATGTTGGCAGCTATAATGATAACCTTCGATGGGTCGAGGCGAGAAAATAAACCATCAAGAGTTCGACCCCATAAGCTCGTCACAGCAGGTCACAGCCCACAAGTATTCGTCTCCACTCGGGATGACGCGTCAATTGCATCAGCTTGGAGTTATAAGCACCGCTCATAATGAGAACGTGTCGAAAGCCTCCTGGTAGAATCGACCCAAACCGTTTGATCGGGTCATACACGTTCAAACAGCATGCTTTACAATTTTCCTGGTACATTTATTTGCATTCGTAGATGCATAATTGTCAGAGTACAGCCGTCGTGAATTGATAACGGACCACTCACATACTTTTCGTCACTTCATCGTTGCCCTAACGCCAAGGCCCAATTTGATTGCCGCTGTGACCTGGCGTGACCACCAATGCCACATTTTGTGACTGGTAGTAGTTTCCCGATAAATCTCCCATAACTACTAGGTGTATTCTATTCCATGCGTTTTCAACCAACACCAAAGTGAACTTCACCGGCCTGACTGTGGTTGTAACTCTGGATTTCAATGGGCCGACCCCGCCTTCATGCAACAGCGGAAGAAAGAGCTGTTGCTGCGCGAAAATATAGACAGGATTATTATGAAAGGTCAATCTTCAGAGACCAGTCTCATGTATCGCAATCAGTTTATATTCTTTACAGGAACAAAAAAACAATAAGCGTGAAAATGGCAGCCAAATACAAGGCACAACGTGCGGGTAGAAAAAAGTCTGGGCCTGTGAAGGCCGCACGGCTGTGAGCTGCGCAGTATTTTATGTGGTTGCATGCCCACTCATCAATACCAAGCTCTGGGCATTCTCCCCAGCCTGAGGGGAAGGTTGCAGAACAAGAGACGTTTATGTCCGATAGCAAGAGCCAATTTCCTGAACACAAGATATCGCCGCCTGATAGCACTGTCCACCGCATTGATTTACAGTATGCTTTTCGGCTCTCGCTGCTTCCCTGTCTGATCGATTCAATTTATAGACAACGCATCCAAGATATTCGGACAGCAGTGGTACAGACAACGGCTCCTCACCCCGAGGACTATTTCGAACATCTCTACTATAGTCTGACGAAGAACGCACACGACTATCAACTTCGCCTGTCAATCATTTCGGACGCCCTGAAACTTTTAGAAGCACATAGTTTGCAAGCCCGCACATTGGAGGCAGAACTCCTGCAAGGGAACGAGGTCGGAAACTTGTTATCCCAAGGACAAGAGCTCACGCAGAAATTAAGGGATATGACGAGAGCTGCTGAAGAGCTCTGGTGCTTTATCGTATACGACGCGGATACCGCGAAGCTCATACAACAACACTCTCGAGGGGAACTGCGGTTTCAACAGCCGACTATGGACAAATGATCACTCAGTTTATAAATGATATACTTACTAAGTACATATGATAGAGCAGCTAATCTATAATCACACACGTCGTAACACGAGGTTGTACTGAAAATGTTGGTATATCGTTGGTATATCGTGACAAAGCACGAAGCTCATGCATATGCATGGACCGCTGCATGCAGTACGTACTATTTGGTTTGTGCATGTGGTGCGACTTTTACTAATAGTTACTAGCTAGTCGGTGCACTTTATTACTATTAGATGATCCACTCGGGTTCCCCGTACACGATCCACCCGTTTCCTGTTACCCCATGCCCAACTAGTACTACAGAAGCGAACTTCAGCTGCCCAGCGCTTGCCTTGCCATCATTAACTCCATGTGTTATCATAGCGCATGTCCTAGAGCCAGAGTTTATGTTTTTTGTTTAATTATAATTTTTATGTCTCTTAATTCCATGTATCCGTTCCTGTCACAGTGTACCCTGTTCCTCCTCGGTGGTCTTTATTGCATAGCGCATGCGGCAGCCGAGAAAAACCACGGTTATATTCCAGGTTTCCGCTCTTGCCTAAGTGGGCGAGAAGCACTTTCAATGGCTGGCGAGGCTGGTGCAGGGCAGCGAGGGCCAGAACTTTCCAGATCTGTGGACCGCGCGCCATGCCTAGCGACAGCATTCTCTAGATGAGTGAATGTATCAGCAGTGTATGGAATCCTGTGTATTCAGAAGATCGTACTATTGTTATCGCCAAATCTAATTGGTTGATCATATGTCCGAGTTTCGCTTGCACTGCGGATCCGTCCAGCGCTCTTGATATGATGCTTACGCTGAGCAGTCTCTGCCTCCGTGGAGATCTAAAAAGTAATCTTAAAAAGTCTTAAAAAGTAAGGGAGAAGGGAGGGGGGGAATGTGGGAGGATTTGGGCATTTTCGGTTGTTTCGGTTGCGTCGGTTGCGTCGGTTGTTTGAATCCCTTCTCCCTTGGAGCGCTGAAAAAGGGAATGCCATGTGGTTCTGTCAAGCGGAGTTTGAATTTTGCGCAAACCTTCGTCCGTTAGTATGTAAGGGTTGACTGATTTGGCAGGTGGCTCCAACAACAATGATGTATATGTACTGTAATTGTGTATACATATAAATGTAGCCACAATAGGATAGAAAAAGAACACCAAGCAAATAGAAAAATATGAAAAATGCGAAAATGCAAAAATATAAAGATGGGAAAAATGGGCAATGGGTAAACATGGGAATGGGAAGATATAGAATGAAGAAATGGGGTGAATAGGGAGATGGGAGGATGGGAGGATGACAGGGGGATGGGAGGACAATGAGAGGATGAGAGGATAAGAGGACAAGACTACAGGAGGACAAGATGATGGGAGGATAATGGGAGGACAATAGGAGGATGGGAGATGGGAGGACATGACAATGGGACACAGGACAATGGGACAATGGGACATGGGACAATGGGACACAGGACACAGGACACGGGACACGGGACACGGGACAACAGGACACGGGACACGGGACACGGGACATGGGACAACAGGACACAGGACAAGATAATTGGGAGGAAGTGTATGAATCAATAGCATGACACAAACAGTTTGACTGAAGGTTACCTGGGACACTGGCTTGCATCCCGCTGGCCGAGGCACGAGGCCACGGGATCGCAAGCCAGTGTCCCAGGTAACCTTCAGTCAAACTCTTTGTGCAACATCCCATAACTAAAACAAAACTATATAATATTTTTTAAATGTAAGATGTAAGAATTTATTTATTTCACACAACTAAATAATATGTAGACACAGTGAGGTAAGGCACCAAAGGTGCCTTCAGCAGAGCACGAAGTGCTCTGCTTGCTTCCTGTGCCGAAGGCACAACGGGCTTGGACTCATCTATAAAGTAAGGGAGAACGGTATGGGGGAAGGGGTGGGACGATTTGGGCATTTTCGCGTAGCGCACATGGTGTCGGCTGCGTCGGTTGCGTCGGTAAGGTCGCTGAAAAGAGGATCCCATGTGGTTCTGTCAAGCGGAGTTTGAATTTGCAAAAACCGTTGTCCCTTACTATACGAGCTCACTGTCCAAACGTGGGAATTTGTAAAAATTGAGCCACAATGGGATTGGCAAGTGCTCACTGGCCCTCCATTTTGCACAACAACAATGAATTTTATATGTACTGCAACTGTGAATACATAATAAATAGTAAAAATTGAAGGACAACAAGGGATTTTGGGATTTTTGTGGGGAAAAGAGAAAAGAGAACACCAAGCAAGTAGAAAAATGTGAAAAATGCAAAATGCAAAAATGTGAAAATGCAAAATTGCGAAAATATAAAGATGGGAAAATTTGGCAATGGGTAAACAGAGGAATGGGAAGATGGAGAATGGAGAAATGGGGTGAATAGGAAGATGGGAGGATGGGAGGACAAGAGGAGGACAAGGGGACACAATGGGAGGATGAGAGGGCTACAGGAGGATAAGAGGATGGGAGGACAAGAGGAGGACAGGACAATGGGACATGGGACAATGGGACACGGGAGAACAGGACAACAGGACACAGGACATGGGACACGGGACAATGGGACACAGGACATGGGACATGGGACACGGGAGAACGGGAGAACAGGACACGGGACATGGGACACAGGACAATGGGACACGGGAGAACAGGACAACGGGACATGGGACACAGGACAATGGGACACGGGACAACGAGACACGGGACATGGGACAATGGGACAACAGGACACGGGACAACAAGACATGGGACAATGGGACATGGGACAAGATAATTGGGAGGAAGTGTATGAGTCAATAGCATGACACAAACAGTTTGACTGAAGGTTACCTGGGACACTGGCTTGCATCCCGCTGGCCGAGGCACGAGGCCACGGGATCGCAAGCCAGTGTCCCAGGTAACCTTCAGTCAAACAGTTTGTGCAACATCCCATAACTAAAACAAAACTATATAATATTTTTAAAATGTAAGATGTAAGAAATGATTGATTTCACACAACTAAATAATATGTAGACACAAAGTGCAGACTCAGTGACAGACAGGGAATATGAATACATCCCTCAAGAGTTCCTTCACACTCTCAACCCATCAGGGTTCCCTCTGCACAGACTGGAGGTGAAGAAAGGAGTGCCTCTGATGCTCCTGCACAACTTGGACCCCACACAGGGACTGTATAATGGGACTCGGATGATCCTGGTGGATTGGAACACAAGAATTCTCAAGTGTCAAATTCTCAAAGAGGGCAACAATCAAGTGGATGGTCAAGATCAAGACACTGTGCTGATTCCTCAGATGAATATGGAGGCCAGTGATGACGAGAACCCCATTCCTCTGAAGCATCGACAATTCCCTGTGCGACTTGCATTTGCAATGACTATCAACAAGGCTCAAGGTCAGAGTGTCAAGTGGGTTGGTCTAAATTTGAGGACACCTGTGTTCAGTCATGGACAGCTGTATGTGGGTTTGTCTCGGTGCACTCACCCATCAAGAGTATTTGTGGTTTTCCCTGAAGATGAAGAAGAGAGAAAGACAAGCAATATAGTATACACAGAGGTGGTTAGAAGACTGATTGAAGATTGATGTACAATAGATTGTATAAATGTGTATTTGTATATGACAAAGATTTATTTATTGAAATTGTATTGAGGACTATGTTGAAATGATAAAGACTGGAGGGGCCAACGGCCCCTCCAGCAGAGCACGAAGTGCTCTGCTTGCTTCCTGTGCCGAAGGCACAACGGGCTTGGACTCGTCTAAAAAGTAAGGGAGAAGGGTGTGGGAACGTCTCTAAAAAGCAAGGGAGAAGGGTGTGGGAACGCAGCCACCCACACATGGATGCCACGTTTCGTCGCATGGACGCCATGTTTTTTCGCTAAGGTCGCTGAAAAGAGCGATGCCATGTGGTTCTGTCAAGCGGAGTTTCAATTTCCGAAAACTGTCGTCCGTTACTATACCGTCCGAATTGGGTCATATGTACATTTCGCTTGATTTGGCAATCTCACGTGGTTTTTTTTTTCAGCACCGACTGCACCAGACGCGACGCAACACAACACTGCTCTACCATTCCAGCAGCTCCCAATCACCTGCCGTCGCTTCTGATCACCTGCCATCACCTCTCACCATCAGCTATTAAATCCTGCTGCCTCTCAGTGCCCTCAACACTTCACCATGGCCATTTCCTGCACTTCCCCAGCACCTGATACTGGCTCGGACGCGTTTTTGGCCGCGTCACGTGACGCGGAGCTCCCTGTCACACCGGGTCACGTCACCATGTGAGTTTTTCGGTGTCTGTTTTTGTCTGATCACACAATTTACAGCAGCTGTTCCCAGTGCTTCCTCAGCACCTGATGCTGGCTCGGGCGCATTATCACGTGACACTCTGGTCATGCTGGGTCATGTCACGAGGTGAGTTTTTCTCTCTCTGTCTCTGTCTGATTGTGTATTTATGGTAGCTACAAGGCAGGAGCCCAGACCTACTGTCGACTGGAATGCCAGGCTTCTGCAGGGCTTTGATGCAAGTTTTGCTGCCCGCCTGCAGCGACGTCATCGCCAGCCTGTCGACATGCTGGCCCCACCTCCCACTTCCACAACTCCTTCAGTACCCCCTCCTTCTGAGTTGTCGGCGCCTGCTGTGACCGACTGGTCTGCTGAACTCCATCGCCGCTGGTCCGAGAGCCACATGATGCGTCTCGAACGGAGACGACTCAACGACCCATATGCTAAGGTCACCACTTGGCGAGAGAATCTCAATGCCATGGATCAGAAAATCCATGACCTCCAACGATCTAATGCAAAGTTGGAAAAGGACATCATGTGGTGGGAAGAGCAACATGAGCAAGACCTCAAGGATAATAGTAGGGATGTAGATACCTTCTGCTCTCAGTTGGAGAAGGCACATAAGCATCGAAAGCATCGCAAGGTGGTGGATGCTTGGCGAAAGCACATCTTTCAGCAGATGAAGGGAAAAAGTCGGGAGGAGCGTCAGCATTTGAATGAGCTATGCAAAGAGGGACCTCCACCTGGCTGGGAGCCTTCTAAATAGTTTTTTGTGTTAGAGTTGTTCCTATAATATGACTTGATTTCTGATTGGATGGGAGTGATGTATCAAATGGGAGGACGGGAGATGGGAGACAGGAAAACGGGAAAGCAGAAAATAGGACAGAGGACACAGGAGAATTAGACACAAACAGTGAGACTGAAATTTACCTGGGACACTGGCTTGCATCCCGCTGGCCGAGGCACGAGGCCACGGGATTGCAAGCCAGTGTCCCAGGTAAATTTCAGTCTCACTGTTTGTGTCTAATTCTCCTGTGTCCTCTGTCCTATTTTCTCACAACTAAACAAAAGTATATAGTATTTTGATTGTACCTTTACTTTTGTCAAAATCCTGAATACTGCTCAAAAATGTAATTTATTTCAAATTTTTCAAAATTCTGCTATGATTATCAATTATTAATTATTAAGTTCCTGAAGTTGCTTCCTGTGCCGAAGGCACAACGGGTGTGGGCTCGTTCTATTTAGCGCAGACTTGAAATGTGATAGGTGCCGGTTCCTGAACGACCCGGAAGAAACCGACACCACATGTCCAGCTGAGCGTCAAGCATTCTCCTCTCTCTCTCGATTTTCTTCATCGCTGCATCATACACCAGACTTTGACGCAAAATATTTACCGGGGGAAATGAGTGAAAATTCAACGAGAATCGGTTAGCGAAAACGTATAACTCATTCGAATATTATATACAGCCCGCTCGCTCATTATCTCGCTCGTTCACATATTTTCGCCCACCCTCTACTCCCAGAATTTAATGCAATCTCGTCATAATATTTGCCTCGTGCCTTTGTTTATAATATTCAAATACCCGTACACGTACCAGCATAGTATATCAATATATCGTTTTAACGGTCATTCAATCAGCCCACATGTCGAGTTTTCCCACCCACCCGGCGGCAATCTTGCCAGTGTTCGAACCGAGCTAATGCTCGGTCCCAGCTCAACCACTGTTTGTCTGGCCTTCGACATAGATAGCGATAGACGAAGCTGGATACTAGAACCTCTTCTTCCCACCTTCGCTATTTATCAGTTCTATTTTCTCATCATCTCACCTCATTTCAAAAGGTAACTCATGTCTGTCACTTCCTGTGTATAATGAAGCATTGTTTCAACGAGGCGATTTCTCGAGGTGTAATCATGAAGCAGTGTCTCAACGAGGTGGTTTCTCGAGGTGTGTTGAATCGTACTTAATCCACCCCAGTGTGGCCATAATGTACTGGCTCTCCTCTATATGCCTCTCTTATGGCAGCTTCTTCCGAATCGACAGAACAATATTGGAAGACTGGGAGTATATCCAGTCTTCTTGCACACGGCGCCCTCCCTGACTCCGACTCGATAATCTCTAACGCGAAGTCCACTGCTGAGACTGTAACCGATTTCTACAACCGCACTCTGACGACTCGCAGATATGCCCTTGCTGGAGTGGCATGCTCGAGTATCATCAGCTGCTTTTGCATTGTTGCAGGCATTCTCATTATTTCCACTCACGGAATCTCGGGTATCGTTCAAGTGCTATCGTTTGAAAGCGATCTGCAGTTAAGGATGCTGTCCCTGACACTAAACTTGATCGTCACATTATGCACGGAGTCCATTGGCTTCATGCATAACATCTCGTTGCGCTCTGCACTAGCCTCAGACTCCCGTCTTACTTTCAACAGCAATCTACGCCTCATGACCGCAGCTCGTGGATGGTGCAATCCTAACGGCGCCCTGTTTAATGGTATCATGGCTGTCCTCCTCACTATATCCTACAGCTCAGCACCACTCGCCGTATATTACTTTTGGATCGCAGGGTTCCCTCTCCTCATTTTGGGCCTCACCCTTTTCCTGCAAGTGGCGATCACATTGGCAGGGATGCGAGCTGTCAAAATATTGACGTGGAGCTCCTCACCTTTCGACGTCACTGCTGCTCTGATTCACCACACACAATTAACTCCAGCTTCTTTCCGATGTATGTGTGGTGTGTCCGACATAGACACGACTGGAGGTCCAATGAAGCCGTTGGAGGCACAGCCCTCAGCGTGGCATGCTCACCCTAGCATCCGAAAAGTTATTTTATTTATTTGGGTGCTCGTTGTAGCATGTGCTGGATGGGGTGCGCTTGTCGTGTACAAACACAACACCACACCTACGTCCCCGCAATCGTGGTCATTTATTCCCAGTGGTGACACTCCTGCCCTCACCTATGATGTTTCAACCTCCGGAGGTAACACTATTTGGGTGTGGCTTCTGGCCGTTGTCAACATAGCGGTTTTCCAGGCACCCTTGACACTTGGGCTGCATTGCTCTGAGCTCATCGTGAACGTCATTCAAAATGAAAGACAATGGAGGTGTGCTACATCAAGTAATGGACTTTCCACAACAACGAACCCGCTGAAGGCATTTCTCACTAATCCCCTCGGTCTAGTCCTTTTTGTCCTGAAGCCTGTGCTACGTGAGTCATTCGCGACTATCTTTGATGGGTTCCCTTGAACGATATCATTAACACTATAGACTGGATGTTCGGGCTTTCGTTCATTTTCGGTCCTATGTGGGTGGGAGGTGGCAACAACACAGTATTTATAGGATTCGCGATACAAATGAATACATACCAGGTTTGTGTTTACTGTCCAAGTACAACTGCTAAACCTGCTCACGCTCTCATTCAGATCTTCAACTTATGTATAGCACAGTTGATATTTGCCTCTGTCTTCACTCTCCTCGCACTGTGCCGACCACGTGGCCCCCAGCCAGCCACATACGGGCACCTCCAGACACTCGCCAACCTCGTGGACGAGTGGTCGCCTGTGATGTGGTGGGGTCACAAGGAAGATGGAATCCCATATTGTCATGCTGGTAGTGTATTTTCATAGTCACGAAGGTCCTACATTTACGCTCTTAAACAGGAACGAGCGGTCATCCGCTGCCGGATGTAAAGATGGACTGTGTGTATGCTCACTCCGGCGTTGTGTCCCATCCTCCCATCCCGGGAAAAATACCCGCTGTTGAAAAGGTATCTCTTTACTTAGGATTTATATTTGTCGAGTCGGGCTGATGATACATTTAGTGACTGTGTGCACGGTCAGCCACACAATCAAACGAGACATCTTCATGCTGTCTGCTGCGCAGGTAGTTCTCTTTAATGTTTTTGGATACCATATACCATCCTCGCATCTCCATCGTCTCATGATACTTGCATTTTCTTTTGTTGTACAAGTTCTATTACTTATTGGTAGTCAGATCCGGGAGTTCAGGGGACATAGCTAATTACTTTTTTTTTCATATCTCACCTAGTACCACCTCAAATATTAATTTTGCTCTCATCGGCACATCGTTAGTGGCCGCCGGACGTCACCTTCAAAATTTGACCTTGCTCTCCAGCTGACTTCGAATTCTCTGGTGACTCGTATGTCTTATGCCCCCTTCCTGTTCTCGTTATCCTCCCTTCCAGACTCCAGAGCCCTTTGAGCAGTGCCCTTCCCATCTCGCCTTCTCAGGTCTTAAACGCTCTGAGACCCTCCATCTTGTCCAACTATTCCCACTCTCATGTTACTCGCACAGTGCTCAATAAAAATTTGCGAGAACTGTTATCCGTTAGATCCTCAGAGTTCTGCCTACTGAAGAGGGAGAAGAACAGGCATTCAAAGACATAAACAACTCGATTTTCAGACGAGCATGAATGGTGGGCTGTGACGACTCTGTGGGGATAATATCTCCGCCATTATCAGCCCCCCCGGCTCAGCGGATAAAAGGTACGACGGAACCTTTGAAGAGAACGCTGTGTTTAGCATCAGGGAAACGCCCTCACGATGAGTCTACATCAGCAAAAGACCCATAATTTTCGCTTGTCAAAAAGAAGATTGATGCTTATGGAGAGCTTACGGCGCTGGTGATGGAGCAATGCGATTGGTGGAACAGAGATTCAAGACGTGAACGCCGATACTATCTGTTCCCGTACACTCGGCACCCCCAGAAGTCGGCAGTCACGCAAATGTCACTGTAAGTCACGACATGTCACATAGGCTGGTTTCAAAGTCAGCTCGGCGGTCAAGCAAGAGCGCAAGGTCAGTTAGTATTCGGCGTACTAAGCAAGCGAGTACAATATTTACTAGTAGAGTCTAAGTGCGAGGGTGACTGTGATTAGTGTTGTTGTTGTTAAATTGCGGGGGATGTGTAGGGAGACCATGTACCTTGCTGACCTATGCTACATCCAGGCCGTTCCAGGCATCCACCTTGCCATCCGGCTATTTAACCCATTTTGGCAGGCTTCTTACCTTCCCAAAGTCTTTAGTGAAGCTTTTGCTCGTTACTTGAGCTAAGGTGATGTCGTTTTTGAGATTTATATCACTAAGTCCAGTTCCTCTTAGTAACTAGCACTTAGTCGAGTTTAATTTCCTTATACAAGTCTAATTGGTTGATACTTTCGAGTGTCCTACGTGTGTGCTTACCTATCCCTCGCCTTTAAATTTGTGGCGCACGCTCGACAGGTTCGTGTCATATTGATGCATCAAACAGTGCAACTGTAGCACTCCAGTGATGCATCATTGGTGCAATTGTACCACCACCCTCCCACCTCCGCTTTCTGATGCATCCCCTCCGCTTTCTGATGCATCAGTCCTCCAGGTTGATTTCTGACGCATCCTCCCCTCCGTCTGCTAATGCATCAGTCCTCCAGGTTAAGTTCTGATGCATCCCCTCACCTTCTCCGTCTGCTAATGCATCAGTCCTCCAGGTTGATGCACTGTGATGCATCATGCATCCCACCCGCCCTCGGTGCCTTCTCGCATCCCACCCTCCTCGCATCCCTCCTGCTTTTGTGCGCCCGCATGCCGCCCTCCTCCCGCTTTTGTGCGCCCATTGTCTCGCGCCCGCTGTTGCCATTTCGAGCCTTTGCTCTTTTTTGTGCCTGCTGTTGCTGTTTTGCGCCATAACTTGTTGTTCAAACAATGCAATTTTGATACCAACTCTCGCTAACATGTATTGAGTGACCGAAATTCTAACTAAGGTTTATGTGCTTAAGTCCATGTCTTCGAATGTGTCCACCAGAGCCAGGGTGTCAGCCCAGCTGGTCTTGAAAGACTCGGCAAGCATTCGACGTAAAACGGCTTGACGTTTGGCACACGCCATCTGTCCCTCGTGTTGATCTGCATCGTCAAGTTGTAGTGCGTTTCCCAGGCCCCGCTCGTCCCAGCGCTGCGCATCCCACTCAAAAAACTGCAGAATCCTTCGCATCTCCTCCTTCAACAATTCCACCTCTTCTGCCCAGCACATCGCCCGTGCCCAGGCTTTGCACCACTCTATTCGCATGTCTGATCTACTGTGAGCCTGGCTAGGAAGCAAAAATGAAGAGCCGCCTACCTTCCAAGGTATTTTCATTGTCCATCTCATTGGGAGCTGCTCCCCGCATACTCCAAATCCATGACAGCTTTCTCGTTCCCTCCGATTCTCCCCATAGTATGTCTGTCATCGAGCGGATGTCAGCTCGGTCTAGCGGCCGCAGTGACGAGTGCCACCCGGACTGGGTCTGATTCACTCGTGGTGCAAGAACAACGAGGGATTTACGTGCATGCTCGTAAGTGCTGGCAGCGGCCTCGATCCTTGCTTCAACGGCTTTCAATGTATTCTGTGCCCGCGTGTTCGCTCCTTGCCCACGAAGGTGCCGATCCTTATACTTGAGGATCGCAGTCAGAGCACGTAAGTTCGAACATAGAGAACGGAGGGCGTCGTGAGCTTGCCCATACCGCAGCTTCCATTCAATGGCTTGGAGACGGGTGTCACAAGGAGAGGTCCTGCTAATATGGGACGGCAGCCACAACTTGATGGCTTCTGGTGCAGCGGCCACATTCTTAGATACTGAGGCCTTGCTCGCACGTAGTGTAGCGAGAAACGGCATGTATAGTTCCTGCATTTTCCCCCAGGCGTCAATCCTCCGTTGGAGAGTGTTGCTTCGCTGAAGCATCTTTCCTTCTTGATTGTCCGTCGCATGGACTCCGAGGCCAGCTCTGTCTGCTTTCATTCGCCGTCTATCAAAGTAAGAACGAGGTCCGATAAGCAATGATTGGGACACTCACTGTTGTTCCTCGAGTTCTAAGCCAGTGCTGATTAATACACTGGGAGTGCAATCCTCATGTAGGGCAAGGTAAGTCCCTGTTTGAAGGTCAATCTGGTCCTCCCTAGCCAGCTCCAGTCATACAGAAGCCATAGTGATACCTGTGATATACGGAGGATTAAGATGAGCACATAAGTATTACCATCACAAACTCGTACTTATTTTCTGCCTTTCATTCAAAAGGATTGGGCTGTGCAGCGTCACGCTCCCAAGCCTCCACCTGTTCTCTCCACTGTTCGAGGGTGGCACCGTATTCGCCTCGCAAGCCATCATCAAGGTCCTCAAATGCTTCACGATGGTTCTCTCGCTCCGGCAATGCATCCTTCATCTTGCAAAGCATAGTACTACCTGATAAAATGTAAGTTAATGTATTATTTTGACAAAAATAGACGCACCAAGTCCAACAAGTTTTTTCCAGTTCGACGAAGTAGTCGTCAAGGGTGTCTCGCCGTGCACCAGGACCCATTTCTTTCGTGCTTGAAGCGACAGGGTTAATATTAGCCCAGCCATGTTCTGGCGCTTCTCCGTCGGTCCTTCCTACCCCGCTCTTGAAATTGAATGAGAAGGAGGTTTGGCACTGCTCAATATGAGCGGGTAGGTGGAACTTGGGCACAAAAAATGAGACGGTCTTGACGGTATGCGAGAGGTGCATTGAAAACAGAAAGGCACTCATACAGTGCCATAATCTTTTGTGCCACTGGCACGCGATATCATAGGATACGTTGAGAGTGTCGAGTATGGTATGGCGAAGTGTTGAGAAGAATAGATAGTCCATATTAATATATCTATGTGCCCGCATTAGATTGTCAACTGTGTGAAATGCAAATGACGACTTACCTTTCACCCTTTTGGAGATCCCCCACTGCATTAGGCCTTTTCATGTTGTGGCGAGCACAATCGATTGTACCTAAACCAGTAATGGCGAGTCCGCGGTTAGATTTTGTATCAGCCATGTTTACAGCGGCGTGACTTGAACACGTTGATTTCTGCAAAAGATAGATGTGAGTATACAAATAGAATAAATAAAACTAACTAACCTCTTGGATGCTGTCTGCACTGTCATGCAAGAAGCCTTTATAAGCATCTTCCTCCACGAAATAACCCCAGCCACGACTCAGGCTTGGGTCAACATTGTCATTTGAGACAGCCTTGCGTTTTAACCAGAAATTTGCATCAATCGCGAGGAATAATCCGCATAACCACCTAACAGTACCTATATCAGCAATCATTCTACTCTGGACTGAAGCTCGCTCTAAACTTACTGTCGAGGGGCATCTTTCCAATCCGCTGGAAGGTTCTTCCCTGGGTGTGGGCACGCTGGGCACAATATGGCACATTCACCCTCAGCTGTCCCATCTATACCACTAGCCTCGTGACCTCGCCCCGAACGCTTAAGCATCTTCAAGTGGCGCCACTCGTGTATCATTCGCAAAAACGACTCGTATCGATCCTGTAGGGCAGCTGGAGTAACTGCAAAGGTACTTGAAAATATGAATTTACCTTGACAGGAAGTAGGCCAGTGTTATCGGACATCCGCCTGAGCGCGTGATAAAACTCATATGTAGATATTTTTGACTCGAAAGAGAGTAAGTGGTATTGCTCAAGAACAGAGAACGTTGCGGCCATTTTTGGATCTGATGTTGTCGAAGGAAACCAGGATATTCTAAGCAGCTGCTGCACGTGGCTTTCGGCTGTTGCACAATTGCAGAAGTCAAGGGCCACTTCATGGATACCGCGGGTGTCGACAATGACAAAATCATCATTAAATGCACGCTGAGGATTAAGACATTTCTGGCCAGTGGTGTGGCCAAGCTGGATGCGAAGGCCCAGGGTTTTCAGTGAGGTTTGCTCGAAGTATTGACTGTTCCACCTCTGCATCGATATCTTATATTAGTTTCATGTCCAACTCTCCCAATCAAATATGAAAACGTACCTGCAATCGGTGAAGTGGGTGGCGCACATGGGCCGACAAGATGCAAGTTGTGCAATAAAGCTCTGACCCTAAGCAGTCTTCACACTGGTACTCTGGGCTGGGACGATTACATTCCAAGCAAGACTGAGTGCCGGCTTGGCCACATCTCCCTTCGAGACAGATGAATTCACGAAGGAATATTCCTCAGTGCTTCAACCACATCAGCAAAGGATTATCCTAAATAATCACGGTAAACATGGTAAGGAAAAAGTCAAAGAATAATGTAGTGTACATACACCCGCTCCTCGGTTTCTGCTTTCCTCACCTAAAAAGTCCAATGATACTTCGGGCGGGAGATCATCGAATGGCTCAGGAATTGAAAACGGCACATCGTGCAGAGTCGGTGCAGTATGAGTTAGATTCTTGATGGTTGCTTTAGTGTTCTTGGGAGGTCGAAGATGCTTCAGTGTATAGCCAATGGTCCCATCTTTATGAACATCTTATTGGGTATGCTGGCGAGAAGGCGGCACCAAGGTGGCTGAGCGGTAAAAATTGAGCTTGGGTTTCTTCTTTCGTTTCTGTAACTTCTTCAGTGCTGCGGATGTTGCCGGAGTGCATACAATAGTCTGAATTGAAGATTCCCCGGCACAAGGAGGATCTGTAGACATTTGTCGTTGAATGTTGCAACATTGATTACCAACACGACAGCACAATTGACCAAACTGTAGTGTTGCACATTTAGGGTTAGGGTTATTGCCCAAACATGTCAATGCATTGTTCTCAAAATGACTAGTACTTGGCATTCTCGTAGTATGACATCATCCCATAACTAACTAGTCCCAACTGTAGACTGAGCAACACCCGCATAACCATAACTCTAATCTTAACGAGATGTCAGCAAATGCTACCAAACGAGGTATAGTATCAAACCTACTAGTGTGTCACCTGCTCGCTGTGAGCCTACGTCTGATGGCATGATGAACCTCCTGTTCTCCCAGAACAAGTGACTGAACCACAAAGACGGTAGCAACATAATTGCCTGGTGTCCAGAGTTCGATTTTTACACTATTCCTATGGTAGGTGTTAAGTATAAAAAATATTAATGAGAACGTGAAAACTCACCAGAGATATGCCGGAAAAACACTGATGTAGCGGCCCCGAGTAACACAATAAAAAGGGGGTTTTAGATTGCGCTGGGCAGGCATGTTATAGAAAATTCCTTCATATAAATATAAAAAGCACTCGTCCGCCATAGCATTTGTGGCCTCCTCAAACTCTATACTGCCCTCGTGCACAGTCACGGACTCCTCTGGTTCGGTCATGTAGGGTGTTGTAGTAATACTGATCCAAAGAGGATCAGCGGATCATTCATTGAGAGGTATCCTGGGAGTGGGACTCAAATGCGCTGTAGTTTTTGGATTAGCCTGGGAAGCACCTTCCATTCATAAAGTGAACTACTCACCCTGGGTCACGAGCATTGACATCAATGTCATATTAGTGGTGGTCAATGCAAGGGAGACTGGTATTTGCAGTGATTTTTGAGTTAGCCTTATGAACCGCCATTAATGATATGGCGGACCACTCACCCTGAATAACGTAGCAGCGTCTAGTAAACTTGATTAGACTTAAAACAGTGATATGATGCACTCATTGAGAAATTTGATTTCCAGTGCGGAGATCGCAGATGCGGGTCACCAGATGCATCATTATGGTTAATGCGAGACAATGATGTCAGGAGTAGTCTTAGTGATAAGATTACAGTACGCACAGTGAATAACAAAAATGTCTGTTGATCACATAGATTGATGTATGGGGCGGGCATGGGAGATTGCTGTATCATTGGAGATATGGGAGAGGAAAGTTGAGTATTACGCCGGTGGAGTGAAATGCTGGGAAGAGATGCAAGAATGGAGTTGGCGATTGCACTGCCGCTTTAGGCTCCAAGTCAATCACTTCAATCACTTCAACCATGCACATGTTGGAACTACTATACTGATCACTCAATAACTCTATAACTACTGCTGCCTCACTCATGATTTTGCGCATTGTGTTGGATTGGTACCAGCATCTGCCAACTTCTGATGTCGTCCAGGTGAGTCTCTAGTAGCTGGCCAATATGACAAATGTACTTATCGCAAAGTAGTGGCTCATGCAAACGCTGAATTCCGATGTTCAATATCCAAGTGAGTCTCTTGCCCGATGCAAGATTCTGTACTTATTTGTGATGCTCTATGTAAGTGTACTATAAGCTCACCCGCAACCAAGATCACCTGCGGGATTTAACACTCTTTTCTGGTATTGGTTGGCAGTAAGTACCATCGTTCCGCATTCCTTCTTTGGATGACCATTTCCTTTCAGTGTACGCCCCAGTCAACAAAAGGTAAAGGTAAAGCCACTCTTCTGTGCACACTATCCATCTGAGCTCACTTTTATTGAACAAGGTCGGTGTCGTGCTCCTTATTTCACTTCGCTTAGAGCCAGTCAGAATGCATTTCCTTTCAGCGTATGCCCTGATCAACATGTCGCGCACAGGTGAAGTCACTCTTTCATACATGTCATCATCTGAGCTCACCTTGATCAAACCAGATCAATGTTCATCAACTCGCTCAACTCGCTCCTTATCGCACTTCACTTTGATTCAGTTTGTAATGAACGATTGCCCAATCCACCAGACACACAGACTGGCCCTAGACACACAAACTGGCACCGACACCACCATTTGCGTTTTGATTTTCCTGTGATCGGACCCAGTAGTAAGTCTTTGCTAGCTAAACTCAGTTCGGTACCCTCATTACCTGATCCACCCAGAGACACCGACTGGCGCCAGAACAGACTGGTACCGGTACCACCATTTTTGTTTTGACTGTCCTGCAATCGGATCCTGTAGTAAGTCATTGCCAGCTAAATTAGCCTCCTTTTTCATTCGCCGATATTGATTTTCAACGAGCCCTGATCAGATGCCAGTGGAATGATATAAGGACGGGCATAGACATTGGTAGAGGGACACACTTGTCTATCATTGTGCAAAGAAAAACAAAGGTATGATAGCGACACTCTTAACATGGTATATGACTTAAAATCCTATGACAGATGCCAGCAGCTCAGTGGACTACTAAGGAACAATACAAATGGCTCCATGAACAGTTGCCGGAGTATATTGCACTACACGGCGAGGACAAGGACTACGCGCACTTCTGGGCCAAGACTCATCTTTATTGGTTTAAAAGTTGGCCTGAGCAAGCCGCCCTCTTCCCCGATATCCCCATCGAAATACCACTAACAGAAGAGCAACAAGCTGAAGAACTTGCTGCTGAAAAAACGCGTAAAGTAGTGAGTTGTCGAATGTTTTGACAACTTTTTACTGCTAACCAAAACCCTGGTAGCGATTGCAGACCTGGTTCCGTTGGCGGACAAACGTGTCCAAGAAAAATCGTGGCCTCAAGAAGGAAATCTCTGTATTTGAAAGCGCACTGCTGCCGAAGTCGCGCGCAAAATCTGTTGAAGAAATCTACATGGATATGGTCTACGATGAACGGATCAAACCTCTAGTAGCGGCTGAACAAGAGGCAGGTAACGTAGCTACAGCTGGTCGCCGCATGGCATTGGGCCGAAAGTTTTGCAAAGAGCTCCTGGAAGATGAGTCAGACGAGGTGAAGAAGGAGGTGAGAGAGAAGTACAATAAGCAGAAAAAGGTAAAGAAGGACATGCTACACGATAAAGCCGACGATGACGACAACAATGATGAAACCGACGCTGATGCCATTGTGAAGTAAGTACTAGTTAATGATTATGATTATGATGTTACTTACACAGCCTATAGAGGTATCGATGATTTACCAATCATATGCCAGCGCTTTGCACGCCTCATCAAGAAAAAGACTCGATTTATAGTCTCCTTCATGTGCGCTGGACCGGACCCGAGGCAGAATTGGAATATCGTAACTTTATCGTAAGTGCACCAAACCGTAAATCTGACTACCAAGCTCACCTTACTAAGGTGCCATCCATCAGAAACTCCTGCTGGGAACGACTTTTCTCAGTTATGCCCTGACAAGGACAACACTTTCCTTGCCGCATACCAGGAATACGCTGAGTTGATATTCCGTAAGCTAATCCTTGTTGTCCAAGTCACTATAGGCTCACCATAAGACTCAACCATCAGCTCCGAACAAGCGTAACCCGCTGCTGCCAGATGTTGAAGACGGCGATCAGACTGAGGAGCTCGAAGGATGCAACAGTGGCAAAGAATCCGAGGATGGTGAAGAGAACAATGAAGGACAACGTGGTGATTCCATCGACTGGGATAATCTAGGTAGGTCTTTATATCATTTTGCAGCCACCTGATGCAAACTGATGCATCAATAACAGGCTTCGCAAGTTCCTCAACCGGAATCAGTGATGCATCACCACTCGGTGAACTTAATCAATCTGCACTCTACTCTGAGGTAAGTACTTTTCATTATTCTCCCTATTTAATCTAACACTTTGCAGACACAGGCACAATGTGATGCATCATTCGTACAGGCCCAGCCTGATGCACCGTTCAAACAGGCCCAGCCTGATGCATCATTCAAACAGGCCCAGCCTGATGCATCGCTCGAACACGCATGGGACAACATTGCCACTGTGCCTCCAAATTCGTTTAGCACGCTGCAATCCAGTGTGCCTGGTACCGTCGAGGTGCTTGGGTTGTCTTTTTCCCATGCTGATCTTATGGCACTGGGTTATTTTGGTAGCGACAACACCACGCAGAACTTATTTTCCCCCGCATTCAGCTCATCAGCGCCCTCATTTGACACACAATATGACACGCACACATGGAATGGTGCCAATTCTGATTCACAGGGGTGGGAGATGCGTAGCCTGTCCTCCTTCTTGAGCTCTCCAATATCTGCCAAGCGCAGCACTGCCACGACTGAGCAGGATGACGCCCTTCCTCAGTTCACTCAACAGTTGCCCATTCTTCCAGCGGCAAATCCTCCTTCGCCAACTGAGCAGGATGACACCCTTCCTCAGTTCACTCAACAGCTGCCCATTCTTCCAGCAGCAAATCCTCCTTCTCCGACCGAGGGCATACAGGATCTTGCTGACACTCACGCTGGTGCTGGTCTTGCTAAGTCAAAGCGCAAATTCAAGTCAAAGCCCGCTACCAAAGTCAAACACAATCCCGCCATGGAGTCCACCCCCATCATCGCACCCATGAACACTGCCAAACCCAAACCCAAACCAAAAGCAAGACCTGTCGCCAAATTAACGGAGACATCGCACACCGCTGTGGATGAAGGCAATCCTGTAGCTCAACGTGCCTCAAAACAAATTCCAATCAAATCCAAGTGGAATGATATTGCCGATGCCATTGGGTCAGATGGTCTGACATTTGTTAGCATTGGTAAGGAAACTCAATCTGTTTCAGAGGATGCTAGGGCAATGAAGCGTCCCGCTAACTCAACCATGGAGGGTGTGATTTCTGCAAAGTACGTCTTCGATATCTTCCTCACTTGCTCAATGCTAACGGACACAGGAAAAAGCGAACGAAGGTGTGAGCCTATGTCTTCATGTCATGATCGAAAATTTGCTTCTCTACTTAATCATTTCATTCTCGTTCATAGTAATATTTGTCGCTAAGTAGTACATATAGTCTCTGTGTGGGTGATCAATGGATATAGTTGTGTTGTCATTTAATCCCCAAGTATATGGAGTGCTTGCAAGATTAACTGGAGGTAGAATACTATGTCGAACTATGAGATACGTGGCAAACATACTACAAGTGATCCCTGAAGTTCGAGGCTGCAAACTAGTACATAAATCACATATGTTGGATCCAGTCGGTGCGCCAGGGAAACTTCAAAGTGCCTTGACGCTCATTTTGATTCTGAATTTGCAATTGATATGGATATGGGCCACTGGGTGTCTCTAGCCCACCCAAGCCCATCCAAAGGTTTCCAAGGAGTGTGGATCCACACCTGAGAGCGACCA